TATAAAACCCAATCCATTTTGTCTCTTATATTTATGCATTTTTTTCCAAGATAATCTTTCTAATAATGATAGTTTTTAGCCAATATACTTAATTAGCAAGGATATTTTAGGAATGACAACACTTATTTATTATAAATAACCAATTTAACTTACTTCCTTAATCTCCTCAAATAAGTCAATTGGGTCTTATAATTAGGACCGGAGGAGTAGTACTACTTCCGATCCTAATTATAACACCCAGTTGACTAATTTAAGGAGATTAAGAAAAGAAGTTAAGTTAGTTATTTGTAATAAATAGGTGTTGTCTTTACTAAAATATCCTTACTAATCAACTATATTGGGTAGGACTACAATTATTAAAAGGACTATCTTGGAAAAATATGCATAAATATGAGAGGCAAAGTGGATTGAGGTCTTATATTTAGGATCAAAATAAAAATCAAACAGGGTCTTATATTAAAGACTGTAGGTAGTATTTGAGTTGAATAAAAGTGACTTCGAAGCAGAAAAAATGTTCTTTTAATCATAACTCGTACTTCTCACTAATTTAAACTCATAATATCACGTTTAATAAATTTCTTTAAAACATGTTTAGGGTGTGTTTGTTGTGAAGGAAATAGAGGGAAAAGAAGGGGAGAAAAAATTTCAATAAACTCATTTTAAAAAAATTGAGAAGCGGAGTTAACCTTTTTTATTAATTTTAATTACTTTTTTATCTTATATTTTCTTTTTAGTAAAAAATTGAAGTCATTAAAATTTTTCCTCTTTTCCCTTTCTTTCTCTCCATTTTCCTCGTACCAAATAGAGCTCAGTATCATTTGAGTTATAAATTAAAGCCCTGATGAGTAAAATTGATTTCAATATCGTGATAATTTTTTATGGGGAAAAGATCATGATAATTTTACTTAGAGAGAGAGAGAGAGAGAGTCTATGCTTTAGGCATGATATGTATGTAAAATATTGCTAACTCAACAAACTTTTCATGCGACGAGGAAGATATGTTAAATATAAAAAAAAAAAAAAACCAATGAATTTTCGTAACTTGATGGTTATACTACCTTGGTCTATTTTCCCTTTTTTTCAATAACTTAATTAAATTCCTGGTCATTCAATAAACGTAGTTAAATTAATTAAAAAACAATAACTCGAACAGAATCGAGAAACTCAAACAACGGATGGGGGGAAAAAATGGCCGGATAATCTCGTATCTTATTTGGTTCGGAAGAATTTTTTACCAATGTGTCTGGGTGGTGTAGTTGGTTATCACGCTAGTCTCACACACTAGAGGTCCCCGGTTCGAACCCGGGCTCAGACAAGGGTCCATGTCATTTTTTTTTTATTTTTTTTTATTTTTGGGTTGACACTTTGGTGCTTCTCGAACATGCTTGAACCAGCCTGCCCCGTGGGGTTTTGTTATCTCAGGCTTTGCTCATCTTTACTGAAGCTGGGCTGACTAAGTTTTAGTCAACGTTGGTGGCTTGTTTCAAATACCTTTTTTGAAAAACAAATGAAAAAAGATACCATCATTAATCAACTGACAAACTGTCACTGTCACTTAATATGTGCCTCTGCATGTTTCTAATAACCAAGTTTCCAGCATAATTCTAGACCATTTATGATGCCCTCAATTTGATTAATTAAGAGAGGTGTAAGTGGGCTAATTACACGATTAATTAGATAACAAAACCACCAGGTTCTAATAGAGTTTTTATAACGAAAGCTTGGTTATGATGATTCGTGTCTTTGAGCGATCAAGGCTTTATGGCCATGAATCCATGGGATAACAAAACCACCAAGTTCCCAATTAGTTTTGGGAGGTATTCCGATAGAAAGATTTCAAAAGTCATTTTATGGTATACAAAGTAAATATATGAAAGAGTTTATCTCGATTTGTGAAAAAATACTTTTTAGAAATACTTTTCATGCTATCTAAACACCTTTTTAATAGAGTTTCATCATGGCTGGAAAATGTTTCTTTCTAAGAAAAATAATGGACAGTCTTTGAGCAATCAAAGTTTAGGACAGTTTTCCTTCCGTTCATTTTCTGGCCCAACGCCTTGCAGAAAGGTGGCAATGCAAAGATTCGTAACTAATCATTTTGCCCATTAGTAGTTTTTCCAAAAGGAGTGAGGTGATTTTTCCATAAGAGAGCGTTGGCCCATACCCATATTTCTGAGCCGTGGTCCAAAAACCTTGTGATGGCGATGAGCTAAACGCAAATTATGGTTATTTCAGTTGTTGATTTGCCCATAGACATTCACATTTATTTTGTTACATATATTTTTTTATATAATTTAACTAAATAGATTGGATGGCTTATTTTAGTGTGCTAAGGGGTCATAGGCACAAAACCCCCCTAGCCACCTTATTTATAAAAAAAAAAATTGACCAAAGGAGCTCAGTGACTAGCCACCAATGGCTAAAGGTCTGGCGGGTTGGAGCTCTAGCCGGCCGGCTAGCCATCGGAGTTCTGGCAAGGTTCATCTTTTTGGGGAAAAAGCATAATGTAAGGGTATAATTATATTTTCACCTATGACATTTAATTTTATTTTGGCCAAAAGTGTTGAAATGAAGTTTCAGAATCTTATGAGGCCGTTGAAAATTAAATCTTTTTAGAGGAGGCCAACGAAAATTTTCCATTTTTATTTTACTTTGGCGTACTGTAGTTTGACCAAAATGTTCACCATTAATTTTAATCAATGGTTTGCGAAGTGCCATGTAATGTCAGTCTGTTATTAAATTCACCACAACTTGTTTCGTAATTAAAAATCAAATTAAAGTACCTAATAGAATGCAACACACACACCATAGATAAATTATAATAGGGATAAAATGCTTAAATATCTAAAAAACATTCACAGAGGAGCGCCCAACAATTGAAGTTTTGTTGCTCTTATATGCCTTAAGAATTTATTTTTGTAGTATTTCTGTCATGAACCGTTATTTGTTATTAAATTTGATCATAAAAACACCAATTAAACTATTAATTAGTGTTTTTAATGATCAAATTTAATCATGATAGAAATGCTGTGAAAATAAATTTCAAGACATAGAGGGGGGAAAAAACAATTATAGGAGCTGGATACTCTTTTAAGGATATTTTCGGAATATTTAAACACCTTATCTTATTATAATTTAACCACTTACTTTGAACAAATTTGAACAGGTATATAATTTTCTTTCTATTCGAGCCCCCTCTTGTTTCAATGAGCCCAAAACATGACGCTTTTCCAACAAAAATTTAGAACATTAGTTTAGATGGAGGTGCCCACCCTACGTAATAGTGTAAGCTGGCAAAATAGTAGCACTTGTGTGGAGATCAAAACATGTGTCTGTAAGTGAGACTTTTTATAAATCTTTATTAAACATATTCATATAAACAACACAGCTACTAGTAAAAGTATTGAATAAGGAGAATTATCATGATCCAATCCAAAAATTTAATTATCAAGAAATCCTAATAATAAGTAATCAGCATAAACCTATTATCATTTCCTACCCTAAAATTTGTCTTTGCATTCTTTAGTTGTCAATGAATTTTAGAGCAATCAAATTCCTTCCTTATGACCTAATTGTAATTCTTTGTATTAAATATTGATATACTCATTCCATAAGATTATTATACTGTCCTTTTAGAAATTTAAATTAAGTCAATTGTTATAACGTGAAACGCTACTTTCGATCCTCAATATAAAAGATAAATAAACAATTTAGGAATATTAAAAAAATAATTAAATTTGTTATTTATAATAATATATGTTGACTTCACTAAACTACTATATTTAATCATGTTTATTAGAACTCTTCATTCGTGAGTATCTCTTAAAATTAATAAGAGATATTTTGAGAGGGAAAATTATAAATTTAAGAGATAAAATAAACCGAAGATTTTATATTTAACACCAAATCAGATCCCAGGCAAATTTTTATATTAAGGAGGAAGGTAGTACTATTGTATTAGATTTGAAACGCAGTAAGGTATAGGAAGAAATCCAAAACAAAACTGCGGGTTTCAATCACAGAACACAGCTTTACATTGGAAATGTGTATATGAAAAATTAATTAACCTAAATCCTTGAAAACCTAGTCTACTCCGAAAGGGTTCCAAACACAGTAACACTCGATGTCTAGAGAAAGCACTCATGGACTTAGCTGCACCATTTTTAGCAGAAAGTAATGGAAGCTTTAAACCACGCATGCATTTTTGCCTATTGTCTACGCAATATATCACTTTTTACACTATATATATATATATAGCTCTCTCATGATTCTGGTTCTTCTTTTCCCACATGAATGGCACTTACACTATATTTTCATTATAACTTCATTTGGCCTAAAACCTCCATATATCAGCAAAGCGTTCTATACAAAGACAATGATTTACAGAGGCCATGGAAGGTAAGGTCCAACTTATAGGAGAGACCTACAACAAACATCTACATATGAATGGAAAAAAGATGACATGGAAGAGAATCACTTTAAGGATATTGATTTTTATGTAAGAAATGGATGGGAAGGCTTATATGCGACTAGGCTATAAGGCCATTGGCATAATCTTTTCCTATTTTTAATGAAATATTAGATGAGGAGATGAGGTGAATCTTAGCTCAGCATGTTGCTCTAAATTGTAAGTTCTAACTTCCTCATTTCAGAGAATTTTTCAAAACCTATGGGTTAACTTCATTTAATTATTTTTGATGTCACAAAAGCACTTGTTGTTGACTTTTGAAATTACAATTTGGTTGCATATAATATAATAATTAGATCAGAAAAATTAATCGGCGTTGATCATAGTGAAAATTAAAGGGCTTTTACTACATAAAAAATATAAATAATTAGATCAGAAAAAGAGAAAATATTAGACAAGTTTGTAAAAAAGTTAAATAATGGATCTTGACACCAGCTTTAACACGTCCCTACTCAAAATATCAAAATAATTACAAGAATGTTAGCAATAACCCAACCGTTGTAAGTTGGAATATAAGAAGCAGCACCTCAAGTTGAAGAAGCTCCATAGCATAATTAAGCATATAATCTCAGTCATAGCTCACCATGAAGGTTAAGTATATCAGCAAAATTGATCCGATGCTTGACCTATTAATTCCAGAAATTAAGTTAAACACGCAGAATAATTAACATTAATAACGACTCAATTGATTAATTAATTATTAATTATTGATCACGGGTATTAAAACTTACAAAAGGTATTGAAACTTACAAAGTGGCAAAGAAAAGAAGAACCTTCTTGGGATCAAGGCCCCAGTTGGAAGAGCGTTTGAAACTGTTTCTGCGATCCATGCTTTTGCTTTTGGCTTCACCCATCATGGCGGTGGCCGTCATTACCGTAATCTGATGATGAAACCGTGGGCTGCCGTAATTATTGGCCGACCCCACCACCGGAGCCACCATCTTTTCCGGCGTGCCGGCCACATTAGAACACCCTATACCACAAACATTTACAAGCCGATACATATCAATAAACTATTCCAAACTGTCGCCAAAGTAATTCATTTATGCTCGTGGATGATCATATTCCAATGTCAGACAGCTAAACTGTTCTGTATAAATGATACATTCAAATGGTAGGTTCCTTCCTTAAGTTCAAGTGTCTGGGTTCTCTATTTTTCAACCCCAGACTAACTAACTTCAACCACCTGCCTCTCACCTGGCCCTGGCCTTATAGGTTTCCTTCCTTCTCCAAGCTACCTTCCATTTTACTCTTGAATTTCAAATACTAACATTAACAACAATAATATACTCCTTCTCATCAATAATACAAAGGCAACTAAACTAATTTAAGTAGATTAAAAAATTCAATTATATTTGTTAATTATAATAAATGTGACCTGATCTCTTTAAAATATCTACATGTAACATTAGACTATATATCTATATATAAATTAAAAAAATTAGTCCCAAAAAAATAATGGGATAAATTGCTTAAATCTCCTGAAAGTATTTATGAAGGAATGTCAGACATTTAGGATTTTTTTTTTACTCTTATATATTCTAAAAATCTTATTTCCCAGCATTTTTATTTTAAACCATTATCCCTATTAAGTTTGACCACTAAAAATACCAGTCAAACTACATAATTTAATAGTCAACTTATTAGCAGAGAACTACTAGAGTATTTATGCTAAAAATATAAACTTTTAAGACAAATAAGAGCGAGAAAAACCTATAGGTCTTGAATGCGCCTTCGTGATACTTTAATTATAGGGTTAAGGTGCACCCAACACCCCCAAGTATTTTGCCAGGTGCACCCAGTGGCCTAAAGTAATTTATGGTGCAATTTTACCCTCAAAGTAATTAAAATGGTGCACCGGTATCCCATGCTAATAGTTCTGTTAGTTTGACCGTTAAATTGATGAGTCAGCACAAGTTTGACCAGAAAATTTGACGTGGCATGTCTAATAAACAGGTGATGTGGAAATTTTTTCGGGGTTAAGGTGCATCCAGCACCCCCAAGTATTTTTCCAGGTGCACCCAGTGGCCTAAAGTAATTTATAGTGCAATTTTGCCCTCAAAGTAATTAAAATGGTGCACCGGTAATCTATGCTAATAGATCTCTTACTTTGACTGTGAAATTGATGAGTCAGCACAAGTTTGACCAAAATAATCTGACCTGGCATGTCTAATAAACAGGTGATGTGGAATTTTTTTCGTCTGCCACTACTTTGTTTTCTCTGTTCAGTAAATGCTCTCTTTGGCTCTTGGAATTTTTTTTAGAGTAAGAAATTTTTTCAGAGATACTCCTCTAGTCCTATTTATAGGGTAGAGAGAAAAGATATTTTTTGGTCCTATTTATAAGGCACTGAGAGAAATTTTTTGTATGGATGTACAAATTTACCCCTCATTTATTATTGTATTGACTTTGTTTATATGAGGTATAATGTATATTAAATAGGGATAAAGTTGTAAAGTTATTAAAATTTAAATGAGAGTTAATGAAATTTAGGGTTTTTCTTGGTCTGTGTGAAACATGCTGGAAGTGTCTTATAAATAAGACCAGAGGAGTAATATTCAGACAAAACAATAGAATTAACAAGAAAAGTCATGTCACCTGCTAATGAGACATGCTGGGTCAGATTATTTTAGTCAAACTTGTGCTAACTCATCAATTTCACAGTCAAAGTAACAGATCTGTTAGCATGGGATATCGGTGCACCATTTTAATTACCTTGAGGGCAAAATTGCACCATAAATTACTTTAGGCCATTGGGTGCACCTGAAAAAATACTTGGGGGTGCTGGATGCACCTTAACCTCGAAAAAATTTCCACATCACCTGCTTATTGGACATGCCATGTCAAATTTTCTGATCAAACTTGTGCTGACTCATCAATTTAACGGTTAAACTAACAGATCTGTTAGCATGGGATACCAGTGTACCATTTTAATTACTTTGAGGGCAAACTTGCACTATAAATTACTTTAGGCCACTGGGTGCACCTGGCAAAATACTTGGGGGTGTTGGGTGTACCTTAACCCTTAATTATATTTAAGCACCTTATCTCAAAAATAATAAATATAAGACACGGAATAAATTTAAAACTTCAATTAGCTCCTATGAGTTTGCATAAGCAAAATCGAACCTTTGGGTGATGAAGAGCATGCAGAAGGGACAGCATCCCAATCAAGAAGCGCAGCAGCTGGGACATTAACCTTCTTGTCGCTCCACCCTTTCCTCGAAACACTCCTTGCAACTGATTTCATTGTAAATAACCCAAATTTATTCTGAATTACAATGATTACCACAAATATATTACTCCCTCCGTTCCTTATTATAAGAGACAAATAACCGAAGTACGTTGATCAAAAAAACAGTTAAAATTAGTTAAGAACAATTAATGTGTAGAAAGTATAATTTTTTTTCCAAAAATACCCTCATTAATAAGGAGAGAGAACAATTAAATTATTAAAAGAAAGAGAAGTGGGAGGGAGAGAGAGTGTGAGTTGGAGATAATAAATATGGGTAAAATAGTAAATCAACACAAAAAAGTAGAGACAACTTGTAAGTGTCTCTTATATATAGGAACATGCCATAAGCATCAAATGTCTCTTATAATAAGGAACGGAGGGAGTATTATACTTGAAATATGATACTATGAATAATTAAGTAGGCCCAGTTCCTAATGGAATACTCCACATCAATTCATTCATGCTCTGAAATCTCTATGTGCAGTATGTGTTTAATAAATGCCATTGAAGTGACGCTGAAGCTTCAAGTTTGCAGTAATAAATGCTACTAATAATAGAACTGACGAGGTTTGCCTCACTGTAACACAACAGAATTCTGTTTGAACATCTGTCAAAAACAAAAATAATCACAGAACTTTGGCTTCTGAGAAATCAAAGAGGAAGAACTCACTGTGATTCTGGGATTTGAATTACTATCTTTGTTGGTGTTGGCAGAAGAAAATGCTTCCATATCTATCACGAAGCTGTCGCTGTCTAAAATCGATATTTTTGGTTCTGATTCATCAAATGGTTCAGATCCAGAATTCATGTTCTGGAAAACAAATCAAAGGAAAGATTGGATGAGAAGAGTGGAAGAAGAAGAAGAAGCTAAACCACCCAGAATAAGAAAGAATAAAAATAACAAACCCAGAAATGGAATTCTTACCAATACTGGAATTCCAGCCATTTAGAAAGGAGATGAGTCTTTGGAGGGTTTAGTGCCAATGTCGTTGCGTACCGAATGGGGCAGAGACTACCCACCACCTGATTAGACCCCACCCGAAAGGTCAAAGCTTTGTGAAAATTCAGGCAAAAAAAGAAAGACAGAAATTAACATAGGAATAAACAAACACTAGAATCAAAGTGGAACATGGAATATAAAACTGAAAATGGGCTTACAGAGGATAATCTCTCTGCTTCGTCTGCTTCGTTGCTCTCTCTGAGTCTTCAAATCAGAAGAAACAAAGAGAGGAGAGGGAAATATGGAAGGTAGGCAAAGAGAGGGCAAAGCATCATCATGTGAGGTTCACAAAGAAACAAAAAGATCTGCGGCACAAGGTTGGAAGTTTCAGATGCTGATGATGGCTTTCCCTTTTATATGATTTTTTTAGATATGTTTTCAGCCCTGTGCTCAAGAAAATCCAGCTATTATATTGACCTTAACCACCCCCCCCTCTCTCTCTCTCTCTCTCTCGATAAGATACCCATATATTCGGCAAAAATATATACCCATATATCGTAGGAAGTTTGAAGCTTATGTAATAATTAAGCAATAATCTCCTTAATCTTGATATAAAATGTAATTAACTAATTTGAATAAATTAAGGATGTTAGTTGAATTAGCTAACATAACCATCTTTCTTAATTCTTTCTCTCCATTTTTCTACTTGATTACTGTTGGGAGAATATCAATAAGATTAATTGAAAAAAAATTGATAAACATATGAAATATGTTTTATATATATAGGACCAACAGCAATTTCTCAATTAGATCTCATGTTAAGAACAGGAAGATTACCTGCTATATTTAATGTAAAAATTAGATAATATATTTGAGAATATTAAAAAAAATTAGTTATATTGGTTATTTATTACTAATATGGGTTAGTATATCTAAACTATTCTCTTTAATCATGTACAATAGAATAATATCCTTTGATGAGAATCTCCTATAACTAACATAGATATTTTGGAAAAGAAAGAAAGAAAGAAAGATAGTAAATTAAGATCTTATATTTAGAATCAAATTTAGCCATCAACTAATTTTTATAATATTAAGAACCATAGGTAGTACTCCTCTGGTCCTTATTATAAGACCCCATTTGACTTTTTATTTGGTCCTAATTATAAGATCCCAATCCATTTTGTCTCTTATATTTATGCATTTTTTTCCAAGATAATCCTTCTAATAATGATAGTTTTAGCCAATATACTTAATTAGCAAGGATATTTTAGGAATGACAACACTTATTTATTATAAATAACCAACTTAACTTACTTCCTTAATCTCCTCAAATAAGTCAATTGGGTCTTATAATTAGGACCGGAGGAGTATTATTGTTTGGCTCTTCATATTTCTTTTGACTCGTGCTGTGTGGATATAATTTTTTATTTTTAAAAAATTTACAATATACTCTCTTAAATTTTTATATTTCTACGAAAATAGCTCGCTCGTTATTGATTTGCTATTTATTGATTTATATATATAACCTTAAATAAAGCTTAAGGATTCCTTTTTATTAATAATATATTATGCTCCGTTAATGAAGTAACGAAATAACTCAAAATGATAAGTTATCTTCATAAAAACGTTTGGCAGAATTATTTGTAAAGTTTTTTTTCTTTGCCATAATATTTGTTAAGTTTTTAAAATTAATGAGAATCTCCTAAAAAATATAGTTTTATCTAATTTAGAGGTGTTTGGATAGAAACTAAATTATGATTTTTATCTTGATTTGGATGAAAATATTTTAAAATGCTTTTAGGATATTACAAAGGGAAAATTTCAAATAAACAATTTTAAAATATGAACATCCCATATCAGTGACTCCAGTTCCACTTATCCCAAATCAGTATCCAGATATCAAATTGGGATTTTTGAATGTTGTTGAATTACTATAGTGTCCTCTCTGATTCTTCCTTCTATTCTCTCTTTTCATCGCCCGCTCTATTTCTCTCTCCCACAAGCATCCCATGCCACTGCTACTGGTAATGGACCAAAAGTCCAAGTATCACAATAATGGATGGGGAATCTACCTGGCTTTCTACCATCCGAAATAGAGGAGCGACTCTATTAATTCATTTTAACAATTTTTATAATTGGAAAAAGTGTTTATCAGCTGCAAGATTGTGATGGTGAGTAAATAATGGGATGCAGTGAATTGTTATACAGCATTGTAAACAAGCAAAAGTTGTAAATAGCTTTGAAGGAATGGTCTCATTCATTTATTTTTTCTAGATGAAACAAGGGATCCCTAGGTCATATTGGACTCGAGACTAATTCCTTTCAGGTTTAGAGCGGTTAAGGAATAGTCCTTCAAACAAATACGCTTCTGAGATTTAAACTTGTGCTCTCTTCCTTACAAGGGTGAGGCCGTTACCACCTCAACCAACAACTTGTTGGTATTTTAATTAGTCGTGTTGACAATTTTTCTAACTAGATTAACATTACTTTTATATGTATTGACAATAAATAATAAGGAAAATTCATTACAACTTTGTTAGTTACATTAACAATACTTTTCTATTTATTGACAATTTTTCTAACTAGATTAACACTACTTTTATAAGTAATTAGAAAAATTTATTACAAGGCAAACCAATTGGCATAATTAGGCATATCACATGCTGGCGCTGCTAACTAGTTATGGCCATCGAGAGCTCTTCCAAATAGATTGACAATAATTTTATATATATTGACAACAAGTAATCAGTGAACTTCATTACATAACAAACCAATTAGAAAACTTAGTCAAATCCCATGCTACCCTCTTGTTTGATGTATTGACAACTCTTTCATATCAATTAACAACATTTTTATATAAATAAATTACACTAACTTGCTTTCTGTATTGTTTTTCTTTTTGTCAATTTATGAGGGCAAACTTGTCTTTTGGCTACATTTGGAAATGTCAAATTAGTACTCCTGTTCTGATTTGGGTTTTTACTTTTCACTGGTACTGATATGATATTTAGTATATTTAATGGTATTTTTATACCTTTTTCCTATTGCAAACACCCATTTAGTCATTTTATATGAAGAATCTTATAATTTATCGCTGCTATTTTAGCTTATTCTTTGAATTGCGCATTCAAGTAAATAAGTCTCAATAACAAAACAAGAGAAATCCTTTTTTCACAAAAAGAAAAGAAAGTTCAATTCGTGTGGAAAAGCAACCATAGAATATACTCTTTGGATTGTTAATCTAAGACCTAATTAACTACTCTCAGTAGATTAAAGATGTTAGTTAATTAAATTAGTTAATGTAATATATTTTTTTTTATAAAAGACCCTAATCATACTACTTAATTTGCTTTTTCCTTCTCTGACTTGATTATTATTGAAGGAATATCAATGGGGTTAATTTGAAAAAAATTGATAAACACTTGAAATAGGTTTTACATATAAGATCAGCATAAACTCTCAAATTAGATTTTATATTAAAAACAGAAGGAGTATATATATATATCACCAATAAATACTATGACAATACAAATGAAATAGTTCAGTATATATAATATATTTCATGAATTTATAAGGTTACCGTAGGTTTCATATATTGATTATTTCCATACAAAAATGTAGTTTGCTGATCAGAAGATTGTTGAATGAACTGCTCTTTTACATGGTAGATTTTTGTGGGTTCATGATCATCGTCCAAATTCAATGTCCATTATATATTTGGAACTGATCTCGATAGAACAATTAATCTGAATTGTATGCTTTTTTAAATTGGATTGATCGGCAATTAATTTGAAAATATATGACTTATTGAATATATATTTATTTCTCAAATAAACTTCAAAGTGACATAAATATTTTCAATAGTAAATTAAATTAGCAGAATATTAGAAAAAACTTACTTGAATTTTCGGAGGTTTTAGGCAAGGTCTGATATATATATTTATATATTTATATATGTCTAATTTTTAGAATCCTCAAACTCAAATGCACGATCTGGAATCTATGAAAAAGACAAGATAGGTTATCAGTAACTTCCCTTTTCAAAATTTAAATCTTACTTGAATTTAACATAATATCGATATCAATTATTTAAAAATAATTCATAATAAGTATCTTAAATTTAAATTTTAGATTTTTCGTTTGATTTTATATTTCATCTACATTCAGCTATCGTTTTGATTACTTCCTGTTTACAAAAGAGTCATACGGATATCTTAGACTGAAAATATAAACAAATATAATTATTATGTGTTTGTGGAAAAAAAAAAGCATAAATAAGAGTAATAAGAAAATAAATATAGATTATCCATATATGTAAAATCATGCCACTAGTTACGGGCACAAATGATAGCCTAAATACTAGTCGGAAGAAGGGAATTTATATACTTCCTTCGATGCATCAAACAATGTTAAAAGCTAATCATTAAATATGGTAGTGATTAAAATCTCAGTAAAAAAAACCGGACCAAATTAGTTGGTTCACTAGTTTGGTTTTGTCATTAAATTGGTATTGAACCTACAAAAATTGGTATGAACCTGTGATGAATATCTTACTCACTGTAAATTTAAATGAATTTTAATGATAATTTTAATATCAATAATTATTAATTTAGTTATGGATAAATGTTAAAGATCAAAGTTTTCAATGTTGTTGTACTTTATTATTATTACAGTCAAATTATTATTATATTTCTTTGTATTTTTTATTAGTGATTTTATTAGTGATTATTAATGTTATTATATTTTGTTATTTTTAATTAAATTATATTATTTTGATATGACCAGTTTGACTCCTAACTGATTCTAGTCTGACCAATTAACCCTTAAATACCTCAATCGGTTTAGTATTTAGTCTGATTTTTTATTCATCAATTAAAATAGTAATAATACTAGTTATAATTCTTGAAAGAATTGAAAATTGATCTATGTTCCATATAACTTTTTAGTGAAGACTTGTCAATAAAAAATAATTTATTATTGCATATGTATCTTGGTAATTTTGC